GAGTGAGGGAGTGAGTGAGTGAGCGAGGGAGTGAGCGAGTGAGCAAGGGAGGGAGGGAGGGAGGGAGGGAGGGAGGGAGCGAGTGAGCGAGTGAGCGAGTGAGGGAGTGAGGGAGTGAGGGAGTGAGGGAGTGAGGGAGGGAGGGAGTGAGTGAGTGAGTGAGTGAGTGAGTGAGTGAGTGAGCGAGTGAGTGAGGGAGTGAGTGAGGGAGTGAGAGTGAGTGAGTGAGTGAGCGAGCGAGCGAGTGAGTGAGCGAGTGAGCGAGTGAGTGGGTGAGCGAGTGAGTGAGTGAGCGAGTGAGTGAGTGAGCGAGGGAGGGAAAGAGGGAGGGAAAGAGGGAGTGAACATGAGAAGCCATTGGAACGAATTTAGGATGCAGCTTATTTACGTCATTCAGCTCTATAAATGGTGTTGTGTTTGCAAAATTTCAAGCGTATACGAGCAGCCTTATCCCATTCACAAGTTGTCCGATTGAAACAGAAGAGCTGGCCCCTTCAAGAGGAACAACTATACCCAGGAGCGATACCCAGGATACTTCACCAAATAAGCGATCCTCTCATTGATTGGACCCCCATTAAAGGACATGGGAATCATCCTTCGCCGCATGGCCCAACCTCACTCACTCTACCCAACCTCCAAGCCCGCCACCCCCCTAACTCCCTAACAACCAGACCTCCCCCCTCCTCCCTCTTCATTCAACCAACCAGCATATCAAGGGTGAGATCAAACGGTTCTGCATACATGGATAAGGGTTTGTGTGATTAACCAAAGCTTGGCCCAGAAAAAAAGTTATTCATCGCCTTGCTTGGCCATTCTTGGCTAGGGGTGAGCCGTTTTCCATTCTAGACTTTCACTAAAGAACAGCAAACACATTTGGCTGAGAATACTTACCTCAAGGACAGCAGACTTCTTTTCTCATTCTTGGTTTTACTTTCTTTTGCAATCCATAGTCTTATGGCTACAGATCGATTATATTCCGGGGCCTTATCCCACATGCACAGATATCTACACCCAACCACCCACCCACCCACACACACACACACACACACACAGAGGCACCCACACACACACACACACACATCCATGCCCGCACACAAGCGCACACATGTGTGCATGCACGCGCGAGCACCATACAAGTGTGTGCACGTACACACACACACAAACACACACACACACACACACACACACACACACACACACACACACACACACACACACACACACACACACACAGAGGCACACAGACCTTCCTTATCCCACATGTTTGACATAAGGATGCCATATTTGGCAGTGCACTGGAGTTAAAAGTATATGAATCAGCACTGCAAGTTCGGCAGTATGCACTTCAGAGCAAGGACAGCAAATTGCTAAGCTTACCTTGAATCCATTTTCGTCTCGGCATTGCTTCTGACACATCTGACAATACCATCGCAGCTTCTGCAAGCCCTTGGCCTGCAAAAACACAAATTTAAAAATTAGTGGACGATGCACATCCATCTATATTATATACACATATGCCAACAGCAGAGCGTAAATCCAACCAACCAGAAAGGGAACAATTGGAAGGGCTGCCGATTGTCCTCTTTGTGGCTGGTTGCAGCTGCTGACAATTATCCTCTGCCGCCCCACTAAGCTGCATCAGAAGTGAGTGTATAAACATTGGAAGAGCTGTTTGCAAAACTCTCTCTCTCTCTCTCTCTCTCTCTCTCTCTCTCTCTCTCTCTCTCTCTCTCTCTCTCTCTCTCTCTCTCTCTCTCTCTCTCTGTGGGTTTGGTTCCCACTTCTACTCGCTTTCCAGAGTGATGAGGTGAAGCTAACCCTGAAGCACGTTTGGTTATGGACACAAACATCGTAAGTCGAGGGTAACCCATCTTCTAGGGAGAAAAAAAGTAGGGAAGGTGCGAGAAATACCTTGATCCGATTGGCAATGGCTTTAGGAGTTAAGAAGTCATTCTTTCCCATTTTCTCAACAGCCTGTACGCCAAACCAGCAGAGCTCCTCCTCCTCCTCCTCCTTCTCCTCCTCCTCCTCCTCCTAGTGGCGCCGTTCTTCTCAAATCGAGCGGTCATATATTGTTGGCTGCGTAAGACAGAATCAGCGAATGTAGAACGATACCTGCCGTACTCCTTCCACCCCCCATCTTCCTCTCTTTGCCCTGCACAAATGAAATAGAAAATACCCAAAACAAATTGTAACTTGCTAGCACCCCCAAAATCGAAAATCCATTATGGATAAGCTTCCCCCCTAGAGGCAAATATGCACAGACTTGCTATTGTTATGAAAAAAATTAAAAAAAGCTTTCCACAATTGCTGATGACTCTGATTATACGCAATCGATGTCATCAACAAGGAAAATCGTAATTTTTTGAAACACATTAACGTATTTAAAACACCAGTTCGTCCGACGCTAAGTCCCACTAAATTTTTGAAGCACACTAAGGTCATACTCACACTAGCACTTTTCAAAATGAGTCCGACTGGAATCACGTCGACGCCACGATGCATATGACCTCAATCACGTCCAGAGCTTAGGAGAAAAGGTCATACTGTGAGAAAATATGCCCTAAGTCGGGCTCTTACCGGTCTACCACTTCAGGTGCACCAATCCTGTGTGAGTGTGAGCATTGAAGGGCATACTCCCACACTTGGGGCCATTTCGAGTGACTCCGGTCAGAATAGAGGTCAGATACATCCAAGAAAATCCTAGTTTCGACTACGAAGCAAGGACAAGCACATGGAAAATGACAAGTCAAACCCAAGTACAAGTGAATTCCACAAAATTGAGGTCGGATACCTCCAAGAAAATCATAATTTGACTATGCCCTCCCCAAGCCAAATGTCAAGGAAAACCAGCTGGAAAATGACCAAGTCACAGGCTAGGTTCAGGTAATTCGACCAAAATTGAGGCCAGGTACATCAAGGACATGACCACCAAGTCACAGGCTAAGTACTACGACTGTGACTGTTGGCTCCATTCTCCTTAAGCCAGACGTAGTAAAGGGGAAAAACCAGCTGGAAAATGACCGAGTCACAGGCTAAGTACGGGTAATTCGACCAAAATTGAGGCCAGGCACATCAAAGAAATGAACAATAATTCGACCAAAATTGAGGCCAGGTACATCAAGAACATGACCACCAAGTCACAGGCTAAGTACTATGACTGCGACTGTTGGCTCCATTCTCCCTAAGCCAAACGTAAAGGGGAAACCAGCTGGAAAATGACCGACTCACAGGCCAAGTACGGGTAATTGGACCAAAATCGAGGCCAGGCACATCAAGGAAATGAACACCAAGTCACAGGCTCAATACTATGACCGGGACTGTTGGCTCCATTCTGCTGACATTCCATTCGATCTCTGGTTGATCTAACGGAGGAAGATGAGAGAGAGAGAGAGGGAGAGAGCGAGAAAGAGGATCCCATCATGTACTTGTGGCTTTAGAAACAGCAGGGGAGTAGAGAAGGGGTGGGAGCAAGATTCGCACATCACGGAACTTGCTACCGTCTTCATCCGAATAGAACACCAGGCAATTATCGCCGTACCTGGGCTGAAAGCTGTGCCAAATACAGCGATAATGGCCGGGCGTTCTATTCGGGTGAAGACGGTAGGGCTTGAACTCTTACGCTGCCTATCATGAGCTCCACGGATTTATCCTTCGCCCATCCCAAACATGAGCATACAATACAGAAATCTTAATCTCTTCTAGTTTGTTTTAATTGCTGTTTTTTTTTTTGCTTTCCTCCTGTTCCCGTCAGGTCGAGCATCAGGTGTCGGGGCCGCCGTCACTCTAGTGCGAGCGGCGCGTCTGGACTCTGGAGTGTATTTTTTGGCTGTGACAAACCTTTCTTTGTTTCGCGGGTGTTTTGCTGGCTTGTGATGGGGTGTGAAACAACAGTCTGTAGAGTTTTCCATCTGGTGTGGGTGAGTGATAGTCTGCTTTGATTTTCGTCACAGGTACCTTGAGGGCAGTGGTTGGTGGTCCCCACCACCTCAGGGTGTCAGTTGTCGGGCACTCGTTGATGCTCAACCACAACCCGGGTTGAGGTGGATTATCACTTACAATGTAATCAGTTAGGGGATTCTGCAGACTGTTGAGGGTTCAGCTTCCTGATGGGTTAGTGAAACTCCGATGAAACAGTTTGTCGCAGCCCCTCGTTTGTTGAAATCCTCTTCTCCCTCTGTGCCTATGGTTTACCGGGCAGCTCTGTTTGACGATATAGCTGGCCGGTGAAGGTAGGCAGAGAGGGAGGGAGAAGAGGACAATAAACGAGGGGCTGTGACAAACTGTTTCGTCGGAGTTTCACCGACTCATCACGAGGCTCAACCCTATACCCTATATATATTGTCACAGAACTATTGACTAAGAGCGTAAGCACGTGAAGTAGAAGAAGAAATAAAATGAGCAAAGAAAAGAAAAATGAAAGGACAGACAGGCAAAGAGACGGACAAACCAGAATGACACAAAACAGTGTCCTCTTATTCTTTGTTTCACAGTATTATTATTTCTTTCAGTGTTTTACCAAAAAAAAAACACTGAATCAAAGGATAAAAATAAAAACAAAGACACATTGAAATCATTCAGTTTCTCAGTCTTCTTAACGCCTCCTCCACTATGCCTCTAACGTACAAGGCTCGCCACGTTGATGAAGTTGAGTGCGAGCTGCCCCCATCCCCGTATGCCATAACAGCCCACTTGCACGCTATGGGAAAGAGGCAGAGTGAAGGAAGAGGTGTTAAACACAAGGGAGAGAGGAGCAGAAAAAGAAAACCGATAGGCAGAGGGAGAAAAAATTAAAAAAAGTGACCCAAACATCTTCTTTCTTTCACTGCATTCTTCTTTCTTTCACAGTTTTGCAGTTTTGGTGGAGTCTACCACGTTCGCTTTTCAGCACACCTGCACTTCCTTCTTCATTTTTCATCTTCATTTTCACCCTTCGGACTTTTCTTTTGAGGGTGTTAGGGTGCAGGGTACAAAGTAAGATGACACAAACTTATGTTCCTCTTTTACTGCATTCTTCACAGTTTTGCAGTTTTAGTGAAGGGTTCCCCACCTTTGCACATTCTTGTACACTCTTTTCAGCACACCTGCACATTTTTGTCAGGGTGCAAGGTACGTCTAAGTAAGACCCTCACGACAGATAGGACAACTGTCATAAGGATGCGGGCGATGGTAGCAGCCCTCCCGCTGATCTACAGGACGAAAACCATTCAGGTAAGCAACTTCGAGCCAGGGCGGCTAGCATTAACCATACCTCTGAAGCATGCACAACAGAGGGCATGCCGGTTGCAGGCCATGACGATTGTGGGGCGTTCACCATCACAGTTAAGTGCACATTCACTATAGCCCCCGCAGGCACAGATGGGACATACTGCATCTGGATGTAGAGGATGTTCACAATCCGGATACAGGTGGCATCCCTGCCGACAGCGGGCCCGAAAAATTATACGGTTGTAGTGATGTCGACAAAGTCGATGCTCTCCACAACCAAGTGTAACTTTGTCAGTGATCTCACAAAGAAGGAGGTCACAAGGTGTTAGTGCAGCATGTGGGGGAATGAAGATTGAAGCAGGCACGGTGACAGACATGGAGATAGGCACAGAGACAGACACAGAAACAGGCATGGAAACAGGTGCGGAGGCAGGCACAGAGACAGGTGCAGAGGCGGGGACGAAAGCACACGAGGTACCCACAGGGTCAGTAATCTGGAAGGACACAGACACAGAAACAGGCACAAAGACAGGTATGGAGGCAGGCACAGAGATAGGCGTAGAGGCGGCCATGGAAGTACACGAGGTACCCATAGGGTCAAAGACTTGGAACAGTTGCAGGTTAGGGTAATTACGAGATCACAAATGGCAGTTATAGTTTGCACCATAGCACCGCCATTCCATAATTCCCAAGAACCAGAGGCACGGACAAGAGCAGTGTAGTGGCCAGGAGCATGTAGAATATAGGCACGAATGTGCGAACAATGGTCCGGGTCGCCACCCGAAGGGACACGTTGCATATCAAGCCGGCGCCTTATCAAAGCAGTCTCCAAAACAGAGACATTGAATCCCCCATGTGGAGTGTAATTCCTATCTTGTGGGGATGCAGAGTCGAGTTATCGCCATATAACTCATGTTCGTGAGCATCAAGATTGGAAGCAATGGCCAAAAAATCAGAGTGAGTGTATGGTTCCCGACGATAGGCTTGCAGGCAGATGTTAGTAGCAGCGAGGCCACATATATTCGGTGGAGACCGGTCAGGCGGATTTTCTACAGAGTCTCCTACAGTCCCCTTGCCAAGTTCATCCTCGGATGGTCCCTCGCCATCATCCCTCCTATTTTGTGTTTGCCGCGTTGCAGAAAGGTCTGCAGTCGACGAGCGTCGCAGGCGTGATAAGGACGCTTGGGGCGGCAAAAGATGGGGACAGGATGTTGGGAAGGGCCGTGGTGGGGAAAATGAACGGGTTAAACTTCGTCCAAGAACAGAGATGGAGGAAAGGGGAGGAAGCTGAGGTTGGGAAGTATCGTCAAACAGAGCTGCCCAGTAAACCGTAGGCAGAGAGGAAGGGACAAGAGGACAACAAATGAGGGGCTGTGACAAACTGTTCCGTCTGAGTTTCCCTTAACACGGGTTGTGGTTAAAACGACAACTGATACCCCTCTGAGGTGGTGGGGACCACCAACCATATACCGTCAGATATATTTTATACAAACAAACCATCATCTTTCTCAAGCCATTCCTCTTATAGTTATGGATCCCAGAGTTTTGAGTCCAAGAAAAAAGGTGGTAGAGGATACCGAGAGAGCGCTCCGTTGGGTTGGCATTTTGCTGTGATGATTGTGAGAGCACGTGACAAGTAAAGTGCCCTAGGCCCAAGCTTTGCTCATTTTTTCCCCCTTTTTCGTTTGTTCTTCTCTGTCTTCGCTGGAGCGCTGTGAACCAATTCCATCAATGACGAGGATTATGAAGATGATTAATGGACAGATGGCGATGATGATAAAAAGAACGGTCACGATCAAGAACACAATGCGATCATTACAGCAGAGTCCGTTGCGCGATCTGCTCCGATGAGAGCCCGTCAAGCAGGTCACGGGTTCGAGCCCGGTCGTCTTCGGCGAGAGACAATGGCAGTCGCTTGTGTATGCGCTGTGCACTCGTTCAAGTAGGCGACACGTGGAGGTCACGGGTTCAAGCCCCGTCCTCTTCGCTGCCCCCTCCTGCCCCCTCTTAAGTGAGGCACCAGAGAATCACATGAGAGAGAAAGGAGAGAGGGAGGGTCACAAAGAGAGGAAGAGGAAGAGGAAGAGGAGAAGGAGGAGAAGGAAGAGGAAAAGACAGGAGGAACGACGAGGAGAGGGGGAGACTATGAGAAGAGTGACGAGGAGAAGAGAAGGGCGGGCCGGGAGGAGGCGGAAGGAGAGGGCAGGGAAGAGGAGGAGAAGCAAAGAACACAGGAGGTGGCCTCTTTCAAAC